TACTGCCATTAGTGCAGTCCTTGCAAAAGCGCAATATGCTTTATGACGTGCTGCACACATGGATATGTCGTCAGGCAAAGGTGTGAGATATTGCTTTGGTTCAACGGGGCTGTAAATCTGTCCCATGCTTTTGTCTTTGCTCTGCCAACAGTTCACACTGATGAATAGGCTTTGTCAGATTAATATCTGATGTCAAACTGCATTACACTGCAGTTATGTTCCTTAGAGCTACGTGTTTGACATGTAACTCTGCCCGTCCCTGTGTGTCCTCCTAAAGCGTTTTTAAAAACTCCTCACGGTCTTGGACCCAGGCAGACCTGCAGTAACAGGGTCATGTCTTCAAATTATTCCTCTTTATGATTTTTTATTGTCTTTCTGCTGTCCTCCACCATGAAGCTACTGCAATCCTTTGAGATGAAACCCAATTGAGAAGGTTCACTGATGAATCAGTAGTGGGTTTGTGTGGTTATTTCCTACTAAGTTGTGATTATTTGACACTTGTAGTCCAGTGTTTTCTGTCATCTGTTTCCAAAATTCTGTCCTAAGGCAAAAAATAATATGTGACAGCACACAGCCAGAGTGACAATCAGTTCAACATTTTATCCGCTTTAATCAACATCAACAAGAGGCAACTTGACATGGAATTAATTAATGTAATTTCTTTCATGTGGATTTAATTTGGCACCATAGCAGCTTGATCTTTGCAGCTGTCAGCTCCCTGATAAAATGAGGGAGGAGTGTGTTACGTTTGTACATGGCCACTGGCAAGCACAGAGTGCAAAGAGTCAAAGGCTATTTTTAGATTGACTGAGGCCCAACATCTAAGCTGTCTGCCATTTGTTGTCCCATCACAAAAAATTCAGAGCTCATACATGCAGAAATCTGGAGTGGCCAAGCGAGATAAAAAAAAGACCTGACACAGCCTGGTATCTCTGGCTGCGTCTGCGTCAATGCATATCGTTTACTTTGAATGGAGTGACGTCAAGCATTGCCGAAATGAATTGTGGGTCCGTCGCGACGCATTGGGTCCGTTGCTCACGGCAGAAGTTGAAAACTTTTCAACTTTTCAAGCGCCAACGCAGGCGTCAGCCAATCATATCGCCTTATGCAAATACCCTGGTGCAGACGCTAGCCAATCGCGTTCATGCAACACCAGAAACGAATGTGATTGGCTGTTGTCACTATGACGGTCGCGTCAGCACCAAGCTTCAGAAACGCCCTCCATCAACGCCCCGTGTGAATGTACCGTTATGCTTACAAAAACTTACAAAAATAGTATTACTGTGAATGTTTTTGTTTTTGCCATGGTGGCTACATGTAAATACCATGATACGGTACCAATCAAAAGTTTGGGGTCAGTAAGATTTTTTTTTAAACATATGCTCACCAAGGCTGCACTTGTTTGATCAAAATACAGTAAAAACCGTAATATTACAAAATATTATTACAATTTAAAATAACTTTTTAATTTGAATATATTTTATAATGTAAAAATAATGTATAAAGTTTTCATTACTTCAGTCTTCGGTGTCACATTGATTTGGTGCTCAAAAACATTTCTTATTATTAGCAATGCTGAAAACAGTTCTGCTGTTTAATATTTTTTGTAGAAACAGAAATATTTTGTAACTTTATAAATACCCATACTGTCACTTTAGATCAATTTAATGCATCTTTTCTGAATAAAAGTATTAATATCTTTCAAGAAAAAAAACACCCTAAACTTTTCAACAATAAAAAATCTTAATATAGCAATCCTTCAGCGCCATGGTATATACTGTATCATAGTACACAACAGTACAATACGCATCGCACTACACATCATGATTCAATGAGATGCAGCACAATATCATAATTGCATCGAGATTGAAACTTCTAGTGAGAGAGAAACTGAGCACGTGAGGGAGAGAGAGTTAATCTGCTGTATCAGTTTCAATCTCTCTTGTGCGGTTCATTTCACTTTTGTCCAGTGCTGTATCTCATTGAATCAGTTCTGACCGCGCTGAGAAACACTGGTTTCAGAGTTTACACTTATTTGGACGACCTAGCCTACTTCTTCATAAATGGAACTGCAGAAAATGATGTAAATTAGCCCATAAATACAGACATCAAAGAAAATAACGCAAAACATGAATTTATGATTGTATCTGCATAGGTGCCTGTAATATTACAGTCAAACTACCTTTTGTACACTAGTCTAAATTATTTTATATTTTTGAACAGCAAATTTATTTCATACTGTGCAAACATTTTATTAATGTTATTAAACTGAGTTTAAATTTGAGTTTAATCTAAAATTTATTGATGGTGTATAATAATGAAAAAAATTCTGGTTCAGCTAATATTTTCTCCACAGTGCCATCTAGTGTTTTGGAGAATAATGCAAACGTGGCGAAACATGTCAAGTTTAAAGTGCTGTGAGCTAATTTAGTCTAATTTACGTGATAAAAATAACTTTTGGCCACACATTCATTTTTTGAAGACATTGAGGAGAATTTGGACGATGAATGTTGTTGCCACCTATTATATTCTGCTTTAAACGGTAATACTACTACAGTATCTAGTAGGGATGCACCGATACCGATTCTGGTATCGGTATCGGGCCCGATAGTGAGCTCCTGTACTCGTACTCGTTAAAATGCCCCGATACCACACAGCATGTGATAAGTGCCATATTCAGACAAAGAAACACCGACAACAGAACAACAGACAGCAGAATGGAGTTAAGGATGTCTACTACGAAGTATATGTATGCAATCAATGTAACGTTAAACATTCAGTATTAACGCCTGTATAGCTGATGTGCACGAGCTGATAAACAAAGCACGCTGAGTGGATTGAGCGCGCGGCGGCGCAGATGCGCAAGCTTGTCGAGTGAATATATCTTTCTCACAGACAACACTGGAAAGTTTGTAGTTCGGTCGGATATGCAAAAAACAAGTAAGTAAAACAATGCACAAGTTACTTAACGGTAGGGAGAGAGAGAGAGAGAGAGAGAGAGAGAGAGCGCACTTCTGTTGTGTGATCTGTGATGTTCACTCACTTAGCACACGCATCATTTGGATTAAAACTAAATCGTACAAATAAGACCATTTATAGGGGCATTCACTATAA